TAATTTTATATATTGATAATCATTAATCGAAATGAAATCTATTTGTCTGTGCAGCTAATTAAGATTTATTGATATCGACAGGGGTCTATATTCTGACATTATTAGCTGACTTCAATGACAAATAAGGTGGTAAAATGTATTTCAGCTTGTGTATGTACCGCAAACGGAAGCAGTTGGAAATTCTTTCATTTCTCTTCCATTTACTGACGGAACTTTATTTATTAGTATTTTTTTTTTCTATAACTTCCTTTAATTTTAACTTCATTTGGTTTTGTATAGTTCATGTTTTATTTATCACTACACTTAAGAATTTTACTATTTTAGTCTATTAGTAAAAAAAAAAAATTTCTACAAATTAAAATTTATTTCGTATTTTTCTTTTTATGGATTATTTGTTATAATGGATACAATTGAAGATATATTAAATTAAGATTGAATTGACGCTCATTCGATTGTTACAATAATTGACATTTTCTTGGTTCAAGGTATAGTTGAACTAATCGAGAAAGTTAGGCAAACAATTTGCTAAGAAAATATTGACAAACCTAGTAATTACTGTATCGTTGAAATTAAATCTAATGTTTGGTGAAAATTAATTATTACAATGATCAACCTATTGAACTAAATCTTATAATTTATGTAATTTTTATTGTACAAGTTAGATTTTCATTAAATAAATTTTTGAAATTCATTTTCAATACTTTGTAAGAAAGAAAAGAAAATAAATCATTACATATATAAAAGAAGATAAATTAATAAAATAGTAAAATGATAAAAAAAAAAATAACGCCTTTAGAGTGAAAGAATATAAATTATATAAAAATTGTAATTAATTATAAGCATTATATAATTACTAATTATGAGTATTATAATTAATTAATTATAAATATTATAATTATTAATTAAAAATATTATTTATTATTAATTATAAAATATATATAAATATATAAATTATAAATTATATATTATAAATTATTAATTATAAGAATAAATAAATTTTAATAATTAAAACAATATTTTAAGAATAAAAAAAAATAATAAATAGAAATTAGATATAAATTTTAAGCTCAAAGCAAATTAGTATTAAAGTTTTATGTATTAATAAAAAAATTGTTAAAGTTTTAAGGCGAATTAATTTATAATCCTTATAAGGCGTAGTAAATTATTTAAAACTAATCAGGTTTAAATCTAAATCTAATCAGGAATATTGCTTCGTTCGCCCAATATAGTATTAGTAGGTGATCACGATGTTGACCCGGAATAAAAAGTTAGGCAATTTTAAACTATATTATATACTACGTACAAATCTGGAAGATCTCATCATACACACACACTCTTTCGAAATCATCTCTCTTACAAAAATTATAAATATTCGATCAAGGATCTCTTTGGCAAATAAAATTATTTCACGGCCTTTCTATATGAATAGACGGAAGAGATTATATTTTCAATTTGTTCAAGCTTAATAATAATAATTTATATATTTAGAAAATTTCTTTCATTTATTTATACAATTTATAAATAATCATTATCTCCCCAATGATAATAATTTCTTAACAAATTTTGATTAGAATAAAAATTATAATGAAATTTGCAATTTAGTATTTATTTTCATCTATATATTATAATATTTTCCTTTTATTCTTTATTTGTAACGTGAAGTAAGAATTAAAACATTATAACCTTAATTAAAGTAGAATAATAAATCTTTTAAGTTTCTCTATGTAATACTAATCACACGGTTCAATTGGCTGGAGTTTTGTTTTTGGAATTAAGTTATATAATAAAATCAAATGAAAGAATTAATTCAGAGGAAGATTTATCATGACGGGTTAAAAAAATAATATATATATATATATATATATATATATATATGTTATAGTGTAGTTAACAATACTTTTATAATGAAGATTCATAATTTTCTTAATTGACAGTTATTGCTTTTTATACAATAAAGTTAGAATTATATGATTTTGGATTATAAAATCAGTTTTATTCTACTTTATAGGTTTTTAAGGAAATACTTTCATTTCCTTTATAATAATATTTAATTTCTGATATCTTCCTTATAAATCATTTTTGTCAATTATTTAATAAAAATAAAAACAAAAATTAAAATTGCTTTTCTAAAAATATAATTTTCTTCTTTATTTCATTTGTTTCTTTTTTTTTCGTTTTTGCTATTTCTAATTAACCTTTTTTATAACCTTTTCTCTAGATAACATTAAAAATTCTATGCATGATGATATAGACAAAGTCAACTTTCTTGTGAGTCTTATCGATAGACAAAGTGAAATGGCGAAAGTGAAACAGTTTCGCTATAACAAACAATCTGGTTATACATAACTCAGGACTAGTTCAATGATTTAACATTTATAACAAATGTTGATGATTTTTATAAAAGGAAAAATTTTATTTCACAACTAACATTTGTCCATGTCAAACACAATTACCTTCAGGTCGAATGTCTAATATAAAATAATCATTCAAATTTGTGAAAAAAATTCTTATATAGGAGAAATCCTAATGATTTTTCTCAATTTCTTCCTGTTTTTTCATTTGTAAAGTAGACTATATGTACAACTAAATTTAACAATATTGTTGAATAAATACCAGACATATTTCTAAACGATTAATAATGTTGTCAGCATTTAATGATAGCTTCAATTAAATGTAACTTGATTAGCATGAATTATATCATTAGTTATATTTAAATACGTTTTCATTTAAATTAACATGTTTTTTTTTGAATAGTTTTGAATAATTGTGTCATTAGTTAAGGAAGCAAATTCAATTAATAGTACATTTAATTGTTAAATAATCATTATTGTCAATTGTTGGTAGCTTCAATTATAATTGTTTCTGTAAATTTTAACTTCAATTATTGGTACTTTTATGCACTGGTACCATCAATTATTGGCAATTTGTAGCTTCAATGGTACTTTCAGGTAGTGGTACCATCAATTATTTTCAATATATAGCTTCAATGATATTGGTACCATAAATTATTGGCAATATATAGCTTCAATGGTACTTTTAGATAGTGGTACCATCAATGATTGACCATATTTAGCTTCAATGGTACTTTTAGGCACTGGCACCATCAATTATTGGCAATGTATAGCTTCAATGGTACCTTTAGGTGCTGGTACCATCAATTATTGTCAATATATAGATTCAATGATATTGGTACCATAAATTATGGAAAATATCATTGCTTCAATAGTTTTTCTAGGTACTGGTACCATTAATTATTGGTACAATATAGCTTCAATGGTACTTAAAGTTACTGGTACCATCAATTATTGATAATATATAGCTTCAATGGTATTGGTACCACTAATTATTGGCAATATATAGCTTCAATGGTACTGGTACCATCAATTATTGGTAATATATAGCTTTAATGATACTGGTATCATAAATTTTTTAGCAATATCTACTTTCAATTTCACTGGCACCATCAATTATTTTTCCCATTTAGCTTCAATGATAATGCTACCATAAATTATCTGCAATATATTGGTTCAATGGTGCTTTCAATAACTGGTACCACTAATTAGTAGCAATTTATAATTTCAATGGAACTGGTACCATCAATTATTGGCAATTTGTAACTTCAATGGTACTTTTAGATAGTGGAACCATAAATTATTTTCAATATATAGCTTCAATGATATTGGAACCATAAATTATTGGCAATGAGTAGCTTCCATGGTACTTTTAGGTAGTGGTACCATCAACGATTAACCATATTTAGTTTTAATGGTAATTTTAGTCACTGGTACCATAAATTATTGGTAATGTAGCTTCAATGGTACCTTTAGGTGCTGGTACCATCAATTATTGTTAATATATAGCTTCAATGATATTGGTACAAATTATGGAGAATATCATAGCTTCAGTAGTTTTTCTAGGTAATGGTACCATTAATTATTGGTACAATATAGCTTCAATGGTACTTAAAGGTACTGGTACCATCAATTATTGATAATATATAGCTTCAATGGTATTGGTACCACTAATTATTGGCAATATATAGATTCAATGGTACTGGTACCATCAATTATTGGTAATATATAGCTTTAATGGTACTGGTATCATAAATTTTTTAGCAATATATACCTTCAATTGCACTGGTACCATCAATTATTTTTAACATTTAGCTTCAATGATAATGGTATCATAAATTATCTGCAATATATTGGTTCAATGGTGCTTTCAATAACTGGTACCACCAATTATTGGCAATTTATAATTTCAATGGAACTGATACCATCAATCATTGGCAATACTTAGCATTAATGGTACTGGTACCATAAATTATTGGCAATATGTAGCTTCAATGGTACTTTTAGGTAGTGGTACCATCAACGATTGACCATATTTAGCTTCAATGGTACTTTTAGGCACTGGTACCATAAATTATTGGTAATGTATAGCTTCAATGGTACCTTTAGGTGCTGGTACCATAAATTATTGTCAATATATAGATTCAATGATATTGGTACCATAAATTATTGACAATATCATAGCTTCAATAGTTTTTCTAGGTACTGGTACCATTAATTATTTGTAATATATAGCTTCAATGGTACCTAAAGGTACTGGTACCATAAATTATTGACAATATATAGCTATAAAACCATCAATAGTTTGTTAGCTTCATTTGTATTAAAACCTCAATGTAAATGGTTAAAAAAAAATACAAAAAATTTTGTTATAAATAAATAAACATTAAATAATAAATTAAATTACAAAAAATAGATAATAAATTAACTAATAAAATAATAATTACTTTAAAAAAAATTCCTTTCAAATTATTCGTAAAACTTGTGTAAGAAAAATGAATATCTGTAAAAGAATAAAAAAAAAGAAGAAAATCATTTGAGCGCTTCTTTTAAAAGTAGTTGATAAACTGATACAGTATATAGAAATCCCCTTCTACTCTTGGGAAGAGGCGCTTTCGTGCACGCGTATAAACCAGTGAAAGCGCCTGGCAGCCCTCCAGATTGCTGTACAGTCTGACAGCGTCAGGAGCTCTTTCCCATTTATATATTTATTCTCCATACAGTTCACCCACATCCACCGTCAGTGAATGTTTTCAGTGATTCAATTATAATAAAAAAGAAGGAATTTTTTTTTTCATCAAAAAATTTTTTCGTGCGTGAAATTTTGTTTCTTCATTCAAAAAAAATAAAAAAAAAATTTAAGTTTATCCTTGTCGGAATAAAAAAAAATATAAGTGAACAAAATGAAGATTCTATTATTGCAGTTATTTGCAGTCGTTTCGGTCCTTGGGACACAAGTGTCAGGATATCCACAGGAACGTTCAACTTCAGGTGAGTTTTATTAAATTTTTAAAAAAATTTTTTAACTTAATGAAATATTTATTATTTATAATATTAATTAAAAGTATATTATGTATTTGAAAAATTTTATAATTAATAAACAATAAAAATTTTATATAAAAATTTTAAATACAAAAAAATTATAATATTTAAAAAAAAATTTTTTTAAATTATTGGGACATATAATAATATGGTGACAATGTAAATTATTGGTTGGTTTTTTTTTCTAATTATGAAATAATGAGTTAATTGCATATATAAATGAAGTTCCAATGGTTGTTGCGATCTCCGGATATTCTAAACCTAAGTCATTCACTCTCATTGACTTAAAGTTCATGGCTGAGACTTGCACAACGCTACCGGCAATGTGTGAGAAATCACTGCACCTCTCGTATATATAGATACACCTATACTTTTCTCGTATTTTAGTCCATTTATTCCCAGAAGGCATTAAAAAAAAAAAAATTAGCTAATATGGCACTTGAATCTATTGGTACATACAATTGAGATTTTAACCTTTATTGCCGCTATTAAAATGATTCATCAATTTTCATATTTTATAATTTCAAAAAAAAAAAAAAATTGTTTCCAATAAATACATATTTTCCTGTTGAAGGATTCTTTATACGTAAATCATATTGAAATTTAATTAATTTGTAATATTATAAGTGTGAAATTTGTAATTATAATTTTTTTAAAAAACATACTCTTTTTAATGTTTATAATATTTTTTTTTTTTGTTTATATATATAATTAATTCGAATTTTTTTTAAAAAAATTGAAATAATATAAAAATTTGCATTTGGATGGTCTGAGATAATTGCGATACAAATGAAAATACACTATTAGTCATTTTGTATAACTGTTATTTGGTATCTGCATAAAAGCACTGATCATAACCTTGTAATACAAGCACTCTTAATCACTTCCTACATCAGTTTCGTATTTCGCACTTTCATTTCAATCGTTAATTATTCAGAGCAGTCAGACTGTGACTGAGCATATTCGACTAACAACAAGTTTACAAAATAGAGAAACATGATACTCATATATTAAGAAATTGCAAAAACTAAAACAGATGGAAAATTTCACCAATTTTGTGTCGAAATTAAATTTTTTAAATAGAAAAAAAAAATAATTGCCAATTATATTCAAATAATTACATTCATTTTTCGAGAATTCTTTTAAAGAATAAAATTAACATGAAATTAATTTATCACAAAAAATTTTTAAATAATGCAGATATTTAAAATGATACCATTACCTAAAAGTATAATTGAAGATATATATTACCATAAATTAATGGTAATGGTACCTGGAAGTACCATTAATTGAAGCTACATATTGACAATAATTAATGATACCACATGAAGCTAAATATTGACAATATTGATGGTACCAGTATTAAAAAGTACCATTGAAGATATATATTCTTATTAATGGTACAAATACCTTTAAGTACCATTGAAGCTATATATTACCATAAATGAATGGTACTGGTACCCGGAAGTAACATTTATTGTAGCTAAATATTGACAATAATAAATGATACCATTACCATTAAAGCTAAATATTGAAAATATTGATGGTACCAGAATTTAAAAGTACCATTGAAGATATATATTCCTAATTAATGGTACCAATACCTTTAAGTGCCATTGAAGCTATTTATTACAAATAATTAATGGTACTGTTACCTAGAAGTACCATTAATTGAAGCTATATATTGCCAATAATTGATAATACTAATGCCATTGAAGTTATAAATTGCCAATAAATTGATGGTACCAGTACCATTGAAACTATATATTGCCAATAAATTGATGGTACCAGTACCATTGAAACTATATATTGCAAAAAATTAATGGTACCAGCATCTAAAAGTACCATTGAAGCTAAATATGGTCTATCATTGATGGTACCAGTAACTATAAGTACCATTAAAACTATATATTACCAATAAGTGATGGTAACATTATCCATGAAGCTATACAGTAACAATAATTGGTGGTACCAGTACCTAAAAGTACCATTGAAGCTATATGTTGATAATAATTGATGGTACCAGTACCTATAAGTACCATTGAAGCTATATCTTAACAATAATTGATGGTACCAGTACCATGAATGTTATATATTGAAAATAATTTATGGTACCAGTTCTATTCAAGCCATATATTGACAATAATTGATGGTACCAGTACTATTGAGGTTATATGTTGACAATAATTAATGGTACCATTACCTAAAAGTACCATTGAAGCTATATGATGATAATAATTGATGGTACCAGTACCTATAAGTACCATTGAAGCTATATCTTAACAATAATTGATGGTACCAGTACCATGAATGTTATATATTGAAAATAATTTATGGTACCAATACTATTGCGGTTATATGTTGCCAATAACTAATGGTACCAGTACCATGGAAGTTACATATTAAAAATAATTGATGGTACCAGTATTATTGAAGCTATATATTAAATGTAATTCATGGTACCAGTACCAGTGAAGCTATATGTTGACAATAATTGATGGTATAAGTACTATTAAGGTCATATGTTTACAATAATTGATGGTACTTGTACCTATAAGTACCATAAAAGCTATATCTTAACAATAATTGATGGTACCAGTACCATGGAAGTTATATATTGAAAATAATTTATGTTACCAGTAATATTGAAGCTATATATTGATAGTAATTGATGGTACCAGTACCATTGAAGCTACACGCTGACAATAATTGATGGTACCAATACCACTGAAGCTATATATTGACAATGATTGATGGTACCAGTAACTAAAAGTATCATTGAAGCTATAGATTTCCAATAATTGATGATTCCCAGTAACTAAACATACTAAAATTTGAACTTCAATTTTAGTTAGTAGTAACTACACAAATCTGAAGCTAACAGTAGAAAAAACTATTAAAATTTTGAAGATAACAGCAGTTAAGAACCGAAAAAATTGAAGCTTACAATTGTTACAACCACCAATAATTGAAGTTACCAAAAATTAAATCTCCAAAAACAACATAACTATAATTGTCCATAGTAAACGGAATTTAATCATAACAATTGATTACAAAAAAAGAAAATTCATATTTCCAAATACATCTACAGTTATTTTTGCAAGATTTCAGAATTAATTCAAACAATCTCAAAACTTGGCAATGATTCCTCGAATTTGCAATTATTCTATGTCTGGTGAACCTCCTTTTCTGATTGTTATTTAACATTTTCCCATTTGGACTACCAAAACTAGGCTTTCCCAGTGTTTAATCTAAGTCAATTGTTTTCTCTCTCTCTCTATTTTTCCTGTGTGTTGTGTCTGCATCTCTAAGGTCTAATATAAAACAGAAGGGGGTGGGAGGGGGGGGGGGTAATTTCAATCGTGTCTGTTCTTTTTGCGAAAGTAGAACACTTCCTTCTTGTGATGGTAATCTAAAATAATATCTCTCCACGCGCGGTTTATAAAAGTCTTCAAAACGTGATGATATACCAAAAGTGTTACCATTCCCCGTTATTCATGTTATATGCGCGGTTATGCATGCAAATGTATATATATATATATATATTTCTGTTCCATGTATATATTATTGCGCAAGTTTCATATATTTAAAAAAAATTAAAATCCTCCCGCCTTAATTTAATGCCTTAGCGTGTTTTAAGTGAAATTTATAATGAGACTCACCATTCCTTATATATATATAAAATATAAATAATGAAAACAAACAAATTTCGTATGTAAATTGAATTAAGTAATAAATAACGTGGTATAAATAAATTCTGCAAATATGGTAATAATTCATAAAAAAAAAAATAAGGATACGTAAATAATATTAATTATTTATTTAATAACTCTAAATAATTAATTAATTATTTATTTTATAATATTAATTATAATTATTAATTATTTATTCTCCTTAATTAATTATAATCTTCCTTAATTATTATCTTCCTTAATTAATTATTATCCTCCTTAATTAATTATTATCCTTCTTATTTAATTATTATTATTCTCCTTAATTAATTATTATCCTCAATTATTTATTTGTGTGAGGTAAATAATTTTCAATCAACACCTTTTTAAAAATGACACAAGATTTAATTTTAAATTCAGAGCGCATTTATATTCGGCTTTTTAAAATGAGCAAAACTCACTTGATTAGTACAACAACTTGGGTGTAAATAATTGTGAATAGCATTGAAATTCTAGCAAACACGATATGAATAACGATAAAGTTTTTTTTTTTTTTTTTTTTTTTTTTTCTTCTGTTTCTTTAACTTACGTTAATGGTGTGAATCAAGGCCTAAGTTCCCATTGATTGCCGCACGAATAGGAAGCCTATAATGAGAAACAAATATCGACTTGTAACTGGATCACCATTGAAGGTTAAAGATCCATTTGTGGAATTGAGAATTAATTACATTACACATCGTCATAAATCCAATCAATTGTACGGTGACAAAAAAAAAAAAAATGAGAATATTTCTCACAGCATATATACCAGGTGAGAAATCTCATATTTGGTCAATGACATTGCAACGCGAACATTCTTTATTGAGCTATCAAAAGTTATACCTTTCACAAATGCAACATTAATTGGGATTCGTTATCGACTAGTTAACAATTAATTTTGAATTGCGTATGAATTTCACATTTTTCATTATTTTCTTATCAATATATATATGGTTTTGAATTTTACAATTCAATTTTTTTTTCAATTTTCTATTTTCGTATTTATATTGGCTGCATTTTGCAGTAGTTCAATTTTAATTGTAGTCTGTAATAATTAATAGCTTCAATTTTCGCTAGCTTCGGATAATTGTAGTTTTATCTTCAATATTAGAAATCCTTTAACTCTTCTAAATCTTAATAAAATAAATATTGTTATTGCTTCAATTTTCCTTAGTTAAAAGTATTTTAATCTCAATTTATCTTAGAACTAAATAAAAGTACATTCAACAATTGTTAGCT